TTCGCAGTAATTTCACGGATTGAGGCTGGTTCCTGTTCAAACTGTGGCCTTCGCCCTTTAGCGCCGCGCACATTCGTCTTAGAAATTTACATGAGTTCCCTGGATACCCATGATCAACATACCAGGAATGGCGTTTTGGAAGAATTCAAGACTATCCAGGTGCAACAGTTACATTGGTTCGCAGTGTTGAAGTCTCAAGGACGGTGTTCTGTCACGATTCAAAACTGTCAAGACGCAACACCTAGGTGATCCGTGGCGGTGGAATCCCGAGAACGATGTTTTGGCATGCTTCAGGATCTTCAAACGGTTGCCTTCCAACGAGGCAAAACCCTCAGTGGAAATGAACCGTGTAGTGACCCATGAAAAAGGAGCTCGGAAGGGGGGGTTATTCCAACATCACTGATGATTCTTAGGTTCACACTGGTCCCCCTCTTCCTCCTCCTCCTCCTCTTCCTCCTGCTCCTGCTCCTGCTGCTCCTGCTCCTGTTCCTCCTCCTCCTCCGCCTCTTCCTCCTCCTCATCCTCCTCCGCCGCCTCCTCCTCCTCCTCTTCCTCCTCCTCCTCCTCCATTCCGCTTCCTTATAACTAATTTCTCCCTGTCGCACCCCTGGACCAAATTTTAGGGCGGTTTCGCCTAAGACTTCCTCACCATGCATGACCCCGAAGCTTTAACAATGACAGGAGCTTCACCCATTGAGGGCGGGTCGTTTTCGAAAATGTGGCTCTCGCCTTCGCGCCGCGCACATTCGTTTCTAAATCGCAAAAGCTTCACGGATGAGGGCGGGTCCTTTTCGAAATGTGGCCATCGCCTAAGCGCCGCGCACACTCGTCTGAAAAAAGTCAAGAGCTTCACGGATTAAGGGCGGCTGGTGTTCAAAATGTGGGTATCACCGAAGCGCCGCGCACAGTCGTTCTGTAAAAATGAAAGGGCTTCACGGATTCATGGCGCGTCGTTTTCGAAATGTGGCTCCCGCCCTAATTCCACGCACATCCGTTTTTTAATGCAAGAACTTCACGGTATGAGGGCGGTTCCTTTTCAAAACGTGGCTCTCGTCTTAGCGCCGCGCACATTTGTTTTAGACATTTGCATGAGTTTCACGGGTTCCCCTGAGCAGCGTACCAAAAAATATGTTGTTGGAAGGATTCAGGATTATGAGGGCGCAACAATTACGTTGATTCGCTGTGTTGAAGTCTCAAGGACGGCGTTCTGGCACCATTCAAAATCGTCAAGACGCAACACTTAGGTTGATCAGTGGCGCTGGAATCTCGAGAACATTGCTTTTGCATGCTTCCCGGTGTTCAAACAGTTGTCTTCCAACGAGGCAGTTCCCTCAGTGGAAATGAACCCCTGTAGGGACCCATGAAGAAGGAGCTTGGAGGGAGGGTTTAATTTCAACGTCGTTGATGACTGTTGGATTTCCACTGGTCCTCCTCCTCCTCCTCCTCCTCCTCCTCCTCCTCCACTCCTGCTCCTTATAGATAACTTCTCGATGTCGCACCCCGAAACCGTTTTTTAGGGCGAGCAGGGCGTCTCGCCTGAGACTTCCTCACCGCTTATGACTCTGAAGCTAAAACATGACAACAACTCCACGGATGGAGGGCGGGTGGTTTTCAAAATGTGGCTCTCGCCTTAGCGCCGCGCACATTCGTTTTCAAAATTTGCAAGAGGTTCACGGATTGAGGGCGGTTCCTTTTCAAAATGTGGTTCTCGCCTTAGCGTTGCGCAGATTCGTTTCAGAAATTTATATGAGTTTCACGGATACCCATGATCAACGTACCAAGAATGGCGTTTTGGAAGAATTCAACGCTGTCCGGGTGCAAAAACTTCACGAATTGAGGGCGGATGGTTTTCAAAGTGTGGCTCTCGCCTTAGCGCCAAATTGCAAAAGCTTCACGGATTGAGGGCGGCTCCTTTTCAAAATATAGCTCTCGCCTCGCGCACATTCGTTTTCAAACTTTACAAGGGCTTCACGGATTGAGGGTGGGTGGTTTTCAAAATGTGGCTCTCGCTTTAGCGCCGCGCACATTCGTCATAAAAAAATGTAAAAAGTTAGACGGATTGAGGGCGGTACCTTTTCAAAATGTGGCTCTCGCCTTAGCGCCGCGCACATTCGCATTAAACATTTGCAAAAATTTCACGGGTTCCCATGTTCAACGTACCGAAAACATGTGTTAGGAAGGATTCATGATTATGCTGGAGCAATAGTTATGTTTGTTCGCGGTGTTAAAATCCAAATAATGGCGTTATGGCGCGATTCTGGATCGCCCAAACGCAGCAGTCAGGTTGGAATGTGGCGTTGAAATCCCGATAGGGATGTTTTGGCATGCTTCAGTGCTTTCAAGCGGTGGTCTTCCAACGAGGCAGTTCCCCCAGTGGAAATGAACCGCTGTATGGGGCCTGTGAAGAGGGAGCTTGTAGGGAGGGGTAATTCCAACATCGTTGATGACTCTTGGGTTTACACTGGTCTTCCTCCTCCTCCTCCTCCTCCTCCTCCACTCCTTCTCCATTTCGATAACCCCTCCCTGTCGCACCCCGAAACCAGTTTTCAGGGCGAGCAGGGCGTTTCGCCTGAGACTTCCTCCCCGAATATGACTCAGAAGCTTTAAAAAGGTGACAACAGCTTCACAGATGGAGGGCGGGTGGTTTTCAAAATGTGGTTCTCGCCTTCGCGCCGCGCACATTCGGTTTCAAAATTTGCGAGAGCTTCACGGATTGAGGGCAGGTGGTTTTCAAAACGTGGCTCTCGCCATAGCGCCGCGCCTTAGCGTCCTCCTCCTTCTCCTCCTCCTCCTCCTCCTCCTCCTCCTCCTCCTCCTCCTCCTCCTCCTCCTCCTCCTCCTCCTCTATTCCTTTTCATAATAACTAACTTGCCCACACAAATGGAGTACGGATGGTTTTCAAAATGTGGCTCTCGCCTGAGCGCCGCGCACAATCGTTTTTAATATTAGAAAAAATGTCTCGGAATGAGGGCCGGCAGTTTTCAAAATGTGGCTCTCGCCTTAGCGTCGCGCACATTCGTTTGCAAGAGCTTCACGGATTGAGGGCGGGTGGCTTTCAAAATGTGGCTCTCGCCTTAGCGCCGCGCACATTCGTTTGTTAAAAATTGCACGAGCTTCATGGATTGAGGGCGGCTGCTTTTCAAGATGCGGCTCTCGCCTTAGCGCCGCGCACATTCGTTTTCAATATTTGCAAGAGCTTCACGGATTGAGGGCGGGTCATTTTCAAAATGTGGCTCTCGCCTTAGCGCCGCGCACACTCGGCTGAAACAACTGCAAGATCTTCACGGATTGAGAGCAGGTGGCGTTCCAAATGTGAGTCTCACCTTAGCGCCGCGCACATCCGTTTCAAAATTTGCAAGAGGTTTACGGACTGAGAGCGGTTCGTTTTCAATATGTTGATCTCGCCTTCGCGCCGCGCGCATTCGTTTTGAAAATTTGCAAGGAGTTCACTGATGCCCATGATCAGCGTACCAGAAATGGTGCGTTGGCAGGGCTCAGGATTATGAGGGCGCAACAATTATGTTGGCTCGCGGTGCTGAAGTACCAGGAATGGCGTTCTAGCACGATTCAAGATCGTCAAGACACAACACTCAAGTTGATCCGTGGCGTTGGAATTCCGAGTACGATGTTTTGGCATGCTTCAGGGTCTTCAAACGGTTGTCTTCAAACGAGGCAGTTCCCTTTGGAAACGAACCCTTGTAGGGGCACATGAAGTTTTGACCTTGGAGGAAGGGCCTATTCCAACATCGTTGATGAGTCTTGGGTTCACACTGGCCCTCCTCCTGATCATCCCTTCCTTCCTCCTCTTCCTCCTCTTCCTCCTCTTCCTTTTCTTCTTCCTCTTCCTCCTCTTCCTCTTCCTCTTCCTCCTTCCCTCCTCCCTCTTCCCTCCTCCCTCATCCCTCCTCCCTCCTTCCTCCCTCCTTCTTCCTCCTTCCTTCTTCCTCCTCCTTCCTCCTTCCTTCTTCCTTCTTCCTCCTTCTCCTCCTTCTCCTCCTCATCCTCGGGGTGAAGTTGCCGTCGGGGACGGGCCTAAAGCCAGGTGGTCCAAGATCTCAGCCAAAATCAATGATGCCAGAGTCTGACTCGTCGATACACGGGGGGGAGAAGGGGACGCAGAGGGCGGAGGGAGGGTGGATCTGGTTGCGCCTGCATCGGCGCTTGCTCCTTCCTGGGTGGTGAGAAGGAAGGGGGGAAGGGGAGAAAGGGAGGGAGAGGAGGAAGAAACTGAAGAAAGGAGAGGGAGGGCGAGACGAGAGGAGGAGGGGGAGGGGGAGGCAGAGGACGATGAGGATAGAGAGGAGGAGAGGGGAAAGAGGCGGAGGAGGGGGAGGAGGGGAATCAGGAGAGGAGGAGGGGAGGCGAGGAGGGGCGAGGGCAGGAGGGAAGCGGGAAGAGGGGGGCAAGGAAGCAGGGGAAGCAGGGGGGGAGCAGGGACAGGGGACAGTCGACGAGGGGGGGGAGGCAGGAAGAGGAGGAAGGGTGGGGTGCAGGAGGGGGGGCAAGCGGCGAGTGGAGCAAAGCCTCCAGGTCTCTCCTGGGGTGCATTCTGGCCAGAATCTCGAGGTGGCTCCTGCAGTGTGCGACGGACCTCTCCTGGGGTGCCTTCTGGCGGGAATCTCGGGGGGGGATCCAGCCGTGGCGACGAGGGCATCCTGGGAGGCCCGGAAAGGCGGAAGCGAGGGTAGGGTGGTCCAACGGCATCCGTACTCCTCCTCCTCCTCCTGATCCTCCTCCTCCTCCTCCTCCTCCTCCTCCTCCTCCTCTCTCCTCCCTCCCCTCCTCCTCCCTCCTCCTCCTTCCTCCTCCTCCTCCTCCTCCTCTCCTCCTCCTCCTCCTCATTCTCGTCCTCCTCCTCCTCGTCCTCCTCCTCCTCCTCCTCCTCCTCCTCCTCCTCCTCATCCTCCTCCTCCTCCTCCTCCTCTGAGTAGCAGTCGCATCAAAAGCCCGCCTCGCCGTCCGCCCCTCCAGGAGCCCGCCGCGGTGGCAAGAAGCAGCGG